GTTTGTGGCTAGTGGGGCTGTTAAAAGAGTTGTGCGGAGTGGAATTAACAATTACATGCTACGAAGATAATCAATCATGTATAAAATTATGTGAGAAACCGGACCATAAGAGACTTAAGCACGTGGACGTCAAATATAATTTCTTAAAAACTTTAGTCAATCAAAAAAAACTCAACTTATTGTACGTGAGCTCTAGTGATCAGGTTGCTGACACTTTAACGAAACCAGTGTCATCATAAAAAATTAAAATGTTTTGTAATAAGATTAATGTGAAATGTTAAAAACTTAATTGAGGAGGGGTGTTGTAAATGCATTTAAGTTTAAGTTAAAATAGATGGTATAGATGGCGTTGTAGAATGTCGATAACGTAGAGTAAAAAAGAATAAAAAAGATAGTAGTAGATTGGGTAGATTGTCAGTTGTAGAAAACGTTAGGGTTTTGTTTAAGAAAACAAGTTGTTATTTTATTATACTAATATTGACTAATATACTGAAACTAAAGTGTTATTCTGGATTTATTTCACGCCCTCCTCCACTAAAACAACACACTGAAACTGGACACTCTTTTTTATATGAAACTATAGATACATCCGGAAATCCCCATACAAGTGACTATTTAACTGAAATTGTTTGCAATATAATTTCGTCATGTAAATCAAAATATAACTGTAACGTGACATCATTTGTAACAGATAATACTGCTAATATGGCACTAACGCGACAAACCTTACAAGAAAAATTGGACTCCAGCATTTCAGTGATAACTTATGGGTGTTCAAGTCATCTTTTAAACCTACTTTGCAAAGATTTAGAAGTAACAAATATCAAAGAGCACGTTACACAAATTATAAAATATTTTAGAAATATTAAATATAAATTGATGGAAAAGCATTAGTGCTGCCAAGTGATATGAGATGGAATAGTATGGCAGATTGTTTGAAAGTATATGTAAGTCAATGGGATAAACTATTAAAAGTGTGTGATGAGAATAAAAACGAAATAGATTCGACAATATACAAAAAAGTTTCAAACATTGGTCTCAAACGTTCAGCGGAAGATTATTTGAATGTCTTAAAACCCATAACTATAGCACTTGACAAATTACAAAAAAAGAATGCTTTCCTCTCTGATGCAGTGGAAGTATGGAAAGAATTGAAAACATTACTCGAGGAAAAATTATCATCTGTACAAATGAAAGTTTTGATAAACGGTATAAGCAGGCACTTACGTCTAACCATTATATAGCCTATATTTTAGATGTTACTAAAACTATGTATAAGTTAACATCTGTAGAAAACGAGGAGGCCTTAAATACAATTAACGAAATGTAGGCTAATACTGGTTTACTAAAGCTAATTATAAAACTAGAAGTAAAAATGGAACCATTTTCATGGTGCTTTTCACAGTGCTTTACAATGGTGGGTATCACAAACACACATTGCTGAAGTAGAGAAGGTACTGCCAATATTAAAGCAATTTTTATGTGCGGTTTGTTCATCTGCTTCTGTTGAGAGAATATTTTCAACATTTGGGCTTGTTCACTCTACTTTACGAAACAAGTTAGGTGTTGAAAAGGCAGGAAAACTTGTTTTCTTATATAAGTATTACAATGAATCTTAATTTTTGTATTAAATGTTTTTTTAATTTTGTATTAAAGTGCACTTTAATTTTCAGTTTTGTTTTTGATTTAAATCATTGATTAAAATAAATAAATCATTTGATTAAAATCATTGATTTAATCATTTGATTTAAATCAGTCGAACCCTGGTACCTATCCATAGCGCAGCCATAAAAGACTGGTTCCTAACTACACATCATAAATATGAAATTATTAACATATCTCAGCAGCATATTGTAGAAATAAAACACAAATTTATGTTGGTCTGATAATAACCCACATGTGACTGTGGAAAGTCACGTTCAGCATCAATTTTCATGTTTCGTAATTAATTTGATAGACCTACTGAAGGAAGTTCCATTGAATTTCAGACAAAATATTTACTATTAAAGTAATGGCCCCATTTTAGTTGCACAATGATTGACAATCTTAAATCCATGCAATTCGCACACAAGCTGAAACAAAAAGAAAAACATATCAATAATTAATTCATAAATATTGGTAATTCATTAATTTATATGAATTATCTATTCGAAAGTTATAAAGGTATGGAGGTAAAATTGTTTACAAACAAATACAAAATTATATATTTATTGTGAAAGGATATAATTAGGAATGAAGATATGAAGAAATTCTAACAAACAAATTGGATAAAAATAGATTAACTGAAATGGAGATGGGTGAGATTGAATACAAATGGAAACTTTATTATTATTATTAAAATCCATGTTTCGAGATTAATTATTAAGAATTAGATATAATAAAACATACTTCCCGTTCTAAAAAACGCATTTCATAACTTGTATTATTGTATTGAGTTTTTTATTCATATTTCATGTCTCATGTCGAGTGTTGTCACCAATAAATTAGCTGCGATTTCAAATTTTTGGACTCCTTTCATCAAAAATTGTAAGAAACACTACACAATAAGTGAGTATGCAACTTTAGATGAAATGTTGATACCATTTAGAGGTGTAGTTTTATACATTACCTCCCAAAGAAACCAGCAAAATATGGTATAAAAGTTTTCGGTATCTTTTACCTTAAATTACGTACCGTTTATTTCTTAGGAGGAAAAGTATATGCCGGTAAGGAAGGCAATAGAGTTGCAAGGGATCTGAACCATAATGTTGTTATGGAAATCATGCAACTAATACATAATACAGGTCGAAATTTAACCACTGATAACTGGCCACTTCAATTCCTCTATTACAAAATCTTCTTGAAAAAAAAATCACTCTTGTGGGAACACTAAAAAAGAATAGAAAAGAAATACCTGTTGATTTTTTACCTAGCCGTCGTCCTTGTGAACTCAAAAATGCTTTCTTACATCCCCAAAATAAATAAAAGTGTGGTTCTTTTCAGTACATTTTATGACTAAGACACTATAGATCCAGAAACAGAGAAACCAGAAGAAATATTATTCTATAATAGTACCAAAGGAGAAATTGATACACTAGACAAGTTATGCAGTGCATATTCAGTGCAAAGAACAACAAGGAGGTGCTGCATATGCTAAATATAAGTGCTATAAATGCATTAGTATTGTACAACAGCACGAATCCAGACGCAATAAAAGATAAAAAAACATGACAAATGACACTTTATAAGAACTGTAGCTTTTATTCTCCTAAACAACACATGAAAAGAAGAAGTACAATACAAACATTAGGACACCAGATAGAAAAACTACTGAGAGGTGTTCAGAAAAACTGTAAACAATTTATATGTAGAGATCACAATGTTATAATGTGTAATATTTGTTATGAAAACTTCTTCTGATGCTTCTAGCCCCATTCCTTTGTGGGGTCAGATTATTTCAGTTATTTCCCAGTCAGATTATTTATTATATTTATTTGATTAAAAAAAATCGTCGATTTTTAAGCGACAGTCTGATTCTTCCAAAAAGGCCCATTTTAATAATGCAATAACTATTATAAAATAATGTAAGTTTCTATTCATAATAAATTTTTGTAATAAAATTCTTACCTCATCCATGTCGACATCTTATTGTATATTCTTAATCATCTTCGAAATGCAGAATTAAAAATTGTCTCTTTTTTGATTTTATTCGTTAACAATTGACGGAAGTTTTGACGTATATTTGGCATTCCTACAACGTTCTTTATGAATAAACTGTTACCGCTGTTACCACCACAAAAGAAGCTTCTTCGAGATCAACCAGATCAATTCTTCTTGAATGGAAACCATAGACATAAAGCACTTTATGTCTATGATGTAAACCAGAATGGCGTCCAGATGTCACGCACGAATATATACAGAAACGACATCTGGTGTCAAGTATAGTTTGGTTTCCCATTAATAGATGGTATGATTTAAACTATTTTACATTTTTAGATAGAATTTATTTTTATTATTTTTGTATGTATTTGGTCTGCACCAAGTGGTCCACTTGGCGGCTTTCTCTCACATCTTTATTCAAAAGTAAATACATAGGATTGTTGTTAACATATTTCTGTGCAAAATGACGTATTTTTAGTTGTAAAATAAGGATAAGAATAGATTTCACGCTAAGACAAGCGCAGAAAATTTGTTATTATCGCGTGAATCTGCACCAAGTGATAATGTGCGATTTCCTCAAAATACTTCAGCTATTTAGCTTTACACTAGATTGTGTAAAGGAATCTACCTAGAATCGGAAAATTAAGACATTTTAAAACTTAGATGATTGCCAAAGTTTTAAAATGTCTCTTTGGCAATCATCTCATAGAGGGTACTTTTCAAAATTATATTTTTCTTAATTTCAATTCCAATGCTAATACAATAACTGATAATAAAAAGGGATAATAAGAAATAGTAAAAGAAAAACACTCTTATAATGTTTATATTCCATTTTATTTGTTAATTGTGGAAATCTGTAAAACTAAGGTAATAATAATATATGAATAGGCATTCGTATACTTCCGTGATTTTTATTTATTTATTTATTTGCTCTTACTAGTTTCGGCTACCTAGTCGTCTTCGGAGAGCTTCCACAAACAAAATTACATTAGAAAAAATTTGTTAAAAGTTAGTAACAATAAAGTTACATACAGGATGGTTCAGTTTTTAATCGGGAAACTTTACTAGGACGAAGTACTTGCCAAAATAACACAAGTCTTTTATATAAACATAGGATCGCAACTCTTTTGTTTTCGAACTATGAGCTGTCAAAGTTCAGCCAAAAATTTACATTTTATCTTTTATTTCGGGTATAAGTAAGCCGTAGAATTTGAAATTTTGTATTGGTTAACACCTTATTTTCAACCATACCTTAAACTTCCCTAGCGCCCTCTAAGGAGATGAAATTCACAACCCCTTTGATTTTTTTATAACAACTTTTTAACACCATGGAATATTAACATAAGAAAATGTGGGTTGTAAAGCTCATTCTTTAGTGGTACTTTCCTGTCTCTTTAGTACTTTCCTTCAAGTTAATAGTTTTAGCGTAAAAAAATAAAATATGCTACATTCTTCTGCAAAGCGCTCCTATTATAAAAAAAAATTCTTTATAGCTGGCTATGGAAGTTGTGCACTTACTAGGATCTAGTACTAACTAAATAACATCAATTAACTGAAATTTTCATAATTTCAAATTAGATTTCAAATTAAAAAAAAAACATTAAATAAAGTATAATGTAATTTCAATAAAACTTTAGGGATGATTTATTCTTTCAAATAATGAAAGTGGAGAATTTTGTGTATGAATTATATACAGAGCGTTCAACAATGATTGTAAGGTGTTTGAATTTGGCGCGCTTGACTTTTAGTAACATTTAACAAACAACATTGGTACCGGCTGACGTTTTCGACGTATTTTTAACAGTCGGTGGCGTGGTATGTTTTAATTGCTTTCGAGTTAACAATAAATAGTAATTGATTTCATACACATTTTTAAATTTTGTTAGTAAAGTTACACATTGATAAATTTTAAACAAAAATTTTTTAACCTCATAAATTTTTTAATACCTTCGAAATTTTTCCTATGATACGCCTATGTTTATTAGTTTTCTCATACCAGCCTTAAAAATTAAACGCAAAAGCGGGAAATTCAAACACCTTACAATCATTGTTGAACGCTCTGTACATTGAAACAGTACGTGGACGTGTACACTGTGTTAATTAATTATCGTACCCGACGTCATCATTGCAAGTATACAACCAATATCACAGTATTCGTATTGCAATACGCAAATCGCTTTATTGATTGCATACTTGCAATGATGTCGTCGGGTACGATAATTAATTAACATACTGTATGTGGACAGTGTTTCGAAGATTACAAGGAGCTTATTTGATGAGAAAGAGGCTTTTTCCAAAAAAAATAAAGAATTTAAAGACGTGGAAAAAGTTGTAAGAATGCAGCACAAAACGATTACCAAATTTGAGTTCATCGGTTTAATTGAACCTGAAGATATGTGCTGCGCGTTTTGTTTGAACCGTTCGCATTTTAAATTTAATTTAACAGAACATTACTCTGAAGAAATTCATGATATTTTAATTTCAAATTAGCTTATAGGAAAAGTATATATACTAAACAATAAAATAATAATATAAAATGTATATTTTATTTAATACTTAAAACTTATATTTTTTATTGAGGTGTGAGTGTAACTAAAAAAAATAATTTAATTATGATTAATATTCAGAGCTATAAATAACTTACAGGCAGCGCTGAAATGGTTTTCCTGGCCAATCTCCCGGATAATTTTTAAATGACCGCCGTCATTTATGACGCTCATGGAGGATGATGCCCTCTAATTCCCCAGGAGTCGTCAATACGGAGGGCTGTAAATTGAAAGAACATTATGTATTATTACAATTCGGAAAGAATAATGATCAATAAAATATTACTTATATTATTGAATGCAAAGGCACATATCGTTGAAATTATTTTTTCAATTACGTCAAGTGGCAACATCAATAGTGATGCCATTTTTAAAAAACTTGTAACATAATAGTGCATTTTTATCAACTTTATATACTATGGGATACCGTTTATGTAAACAGTTTTTTAATTAATATCGATTGCAAGAAGAGTAGAAGTTTTCCTTATTGTAATATATGGAATGCGGTTTATTGGAACAGGTTTTTAATTAATATCGATTGAAAGAAGCGTAGAAGTTTTCCTTATACAGCCTGATTCAGAGTAAGCGCCTTATTTTTTTTAGCCACGCTATGGTACCACTTTCAAAATATTTGGCAGTAATATGTTTTAGGACATTCTCTACACGATGGTGATATCATATTTTCAATTGGACGAATTGTTTCAAAATGGCGACTGTCAACTTTTTTTTTAAATGGAATGCCAAAATTTTCTTTTTTATTATTGAGATCCTAAAAACATTCTTTTTACGATAGTATTTTGTTTTTCTTAAAAATTCATTTCTTTCCTCATCAAAAAGCTAACTAACATTTTAATCTAGTAGCGCATGAATGTTTTACACTCGATGTTATTTTTTTATTTTATTTTTTGATTAGTAGGTCGTGGTCAGAACTGTGGAATAATGGCTTTTATTCAACACTTTGTCAGTCCTGCGCAGTAATGCGTCTCATTACCCGTCAAAAATCAAATGCAGATATTGTAGATAAAAGAATTTTATCTACAACTATTGAATTATCTATTTGTTATACATTTGATTTTTGACGGGTAATGACACGCATTACCCATGACTGACAAAGTGTTGAATAATGAGGCCATTATTCCACAGTTCTGATACGGCCTACTAATCAAAAAATAAAATATTAACAGAAATGACAGCTTTCTTATATTGAGGTTATGTCTGAAATGTCTATCAAGTATATTTTTTTCGTTTTTTTTGATTTTTTTTTCAAAATTAAATAGTTGTAGATAAAGTATAGTATTCAACTTGCGTATAATGGATGTTACCCACTCAGATTACAACACTCGCTCGCTTCGCTACTTCATCTTCGTGGGTAACAGCCGCCATTATACGCTTGTTGAATAATATACTATTTTGTAATTCGCGACGGTAATGAAAGCTATTACAGTACTCAAACGGGTGCTGTAATGAGACTCCTTACAGCATCCGATGCTGTAATGAGATTTTAGTAACATTTTCTGAAACCAGTTCATGTTGGTGACCAGTTGGTGACATTGGGTCATTAATTTTTCTAGTTGTCAATGTGACTATATGAATTGGAATTTATAAAATTAGCGTACTGTTGTTCGTACCTTTCGTGGGACTTCTCTGGAAGTAGTGTTTTAATAGAACTCTGAGCAATTTCTCCTATTTCGGAAGGTGTACATGAAATATTTTTTCAGGTGAATACATTTGGTGTTTTGACAATTTTTAATCGTCAATTCAAATTTCTATTTTCAAGTGTTACGATGTTACCAACTGCTACATACCTATTTCCCTACATTGCCAAAATTTATTTTGTTTTTATAAAAAGAAAAATGACGGTGACATCGGATTGGGGAATCCTTAAACAAAAAGATTACAATAGAATCCAATAAAACTTGTTAATTTTATACTTCTTGATGTTTTCCTGATGACGGAAATTTTTTCCGAAACCGGTAGTTGAGAACCAATAAATTTCATTCTTCGGAATTTTAATTAATTTTTTATATTTAACATTATGGAACTCTTTCACAAATGTGATAGAGACTTTAAAATGGACCTGGACCTGTTCGAAATTAAGAAACACTGACAATGAATTGTTTAATTACCAAACAGATCAGGTCATAATAAACTTATTATCGTTGTGCGCTGTCTCTTGTGCGCATCTATCCATCGGCATTGTAAACTTTTATCTTGTTTTTGTGGTATGTTTTACATTATTTCGGTTTTTATTTTTTGTGCTTTATTTTATTAGCTAATTTTGTCTCTATTGACAAATCACAGCTATTCCTTGGATATTATTTGTTTCATACTCGTATATTAGGTTTTACTTTACTTACTTAACTTCTGCACAAATCACGTGTTTTTCTTGATTGACGATAAAACCGTCTTTAGGAAATGAGTGCAACAAAATCTGGCCACGCTATCTTATAGAGAATAATTTTAGATACAATTAGCAGTAGTCAGATACGCGGAGCACATTTGCGTTTACTTGTGGAGAATTTTTTTCGTTTGGGGGTGTCAAAACCATCTTTAGGAAATGAGTGCAACAAAATCTGGCCTCGCTATCTTGTAGAGGGTAATTTTATGTACAATTAGCAGTAGTCAGATACGCGGAGCACATTCGCGTTTACTTGTGGCGAATAGTAGCGAATTTTCGTTAGGGGGTGGCTAAAAGCGTCCTTAGGATTTCCTTAGGATTTTTTGCAGTCAAATGACTGTAAATATCTATAAGGATCTAAGAAAATCTGGGCACGCTATCTAATAAAGGGTAATACTAATTATAGGTATATTTTACAATCATCAGATCCGCGGAGTACAATCTGGTTTACACGTGGGGATTTTTTTTCTTGGGGGTGGCTAAAAGCGTCTTTAAGAAATGACCGCAACAAAATCTGACCACTCTATTTCATAAGAGGTAGTTTTAGATACACTTTACAGTAGCCAGATTCGTGGAGCACATTCTCGTTTATGTGGGGTTATACTTTTTATTTTACCTAAAAATGATCGTGTAAAACCGACTTTAGCGTATATTCGGATGTCTTCGGTAAAACGGGTTGCTATGTTTGGGGTGCTGTTTTCACACCGGTAAATACACTCGAGCTTGATTTTAAATCAGGATAATTTTATTTTTAATTCACTCAAGTTTTATTGCCCTTTGAAAAAAAACTCTCAATCGAAATCAAAAATTATCCGATTAAAAGTCAAGCTCTTGTGTATTTACCCCCGATTAAGAAGATTGTCGATTTTTAAACGACAGTCCGATTCTTCAAAAATGCAGATTCGCCAAAAATTTTAATAATGCAATGACTATTATAAAATAATATAAGTTTCTATACATTATAATTTTTTTTAATAAAATTCTTACCTCATCATGTCAACATCTTATTTTTAATCGTCTTCGAAATGCAGAATTAAAAATTGTCTCTTTTCTTGGTTTTGAGTCGGTGACAATTGACGGAAGTTTTAACGTAAACGTTACGAGGGAATAATAAATTTGTATCCGACTAAACTTTCCCTTTTTGTCTCTCTCTTTCCACATAAACCCATCATAGGTGGCGTTGTGTAATCTGGGGTGCATAATTTTATGCATTCACAAAAGTATGCAACCTAGATAAAATTAATAAATATTCATGCTTAATGGTGAATGATTACCTATCCTACAAATGCTGTATAAAATGCAATTTCTTACAAAAAGAAAGTGGTCAACACATTCATTGAAAAAATTCAAGTCCACTGTTTCCTCTAAATGTTTCACAATGAGGCTTGTAAGTCCCACTTCATGCCAGCGGTTTTTCGGTCTGACCTCTAAAATTGCAACCACAAACTGTTCAGCAGGATAAAATAACTTCTTGTTATTTGAAAATTCTTTGGCTGCTATGAATCGGTTAAAAGACACTAGGTCATCAGAGGTTAGAATATTTGAACAAGTTTCACAACAAAGTTTATTAAAGAGCCTCTTTAAAATGAAACCTGCAATATAAGCTACTGATAGGCTTTCAAAACTTCTGTTGCCACCATTATCTCTATATCTATGGCGACTAGTTGAGGTACTTCTTGGCTATTTATTTTAGATACAATTTATCAATGGCAATTTTTATATGAACCGACACTGATTCACTTGGCGCAGACTCGCGGCTTTGTCTCACATCTTTACTCAAAAATAAATACATAGCATTGTTGTTAACGTATTTCTGTACAAAATGACGTATTTTTTGTTGTAAAGTAATTAGAATGTTAATCACAAAAATTACTAAACTTTGCCATAAAAACGGCTTTGTATAATGCGATTTATGTATGTGAACTTAATTTCAAAGAAATTAAAAGATGTTTACCGCTGAAAACGTTTAAAAAATATATCGTCCACACGAAAACGGCAAACACATCTTTTAAACTTTTTAATAAGATATTATCGTGAAATTTAGACATCAAAAATGCCTATACCACATCCGATGGAATACCCGGTATACAGGTGTCCCGTATCTTGAGCATCAGAGCATTATACGGTTGTAGGATACATTATTCTGCAGCGATTTTTCTAATAAATTTTTTTCGAAATGTTTATAGTAACTGCACGGGAACTGTTTAAAACTGTCCAATAGCAGATCGTAAATCAGATTCAGGTAATCGGCCCGTATACGGGACACCTGTATATGTATATGATGGATTAGGTAAATAGTGGCAAGCAAATAATACATTACCATCAAAATATCATAATATATTAATATTTTTTCGAATAACTACCATTTAACATATATTCTGTGGCTCTTAAATCGCAGTAAATTTAGTTGGGGTATGTGAAATTGTTCTTCAACCTTTATGAATATTTTGGTTCTGAAAAGAACCGGGTCGTGTTGATATTGAAATAATTTCAATTTCTTAGCCTCCAAAGCCGTAGAGAGTGCGCCCTTGCCGTTTAAGGGCGTAAACGACGTCCATAGCAGTAACGGTTTTCCTCTTTGCATGTTCCGTATAGGTGACAGCGTCGCGAATAACGTTCTCAAGAAATACCTTTAGGACTCCTCTGGTTTCTTCGTAAATTAATCCGGAAATTCGTTTTACGCCACCGCGACGAGCAAGACGCCTGATGGCCGGTTTGGTAATGCCCTGGATGTTGTCACGGAGTACTTTGCGATGACGTTTCGCACCCCCTTTACCAAGCCCTTTTCCTCCCTTTCCTCGGCCAGTCATTGTGTTGGTTTGTCAACAATCTAGTAATCACGAACAACAAACGATAGCGGACACTGTGGTTATGATAGGAGTGGCCAGTTTCGACCCTGTTATATACACGTGGAACGGGAACGCCTACCGCCGCTTGGGCTCGACCAATCCGAACAAGCGTGCAATATGCGGTACGTGTAAAGGATAGAAAATAGCCTTTGGCCGTTAAAATTTTTTAGATTTGACGATAGCAATCAGTTTGTAACTACATACATATCTTGTTTGTTACTGTTACGTTCATAAAAAAAACAACGAAAATGGCGCGTACGAAGCAAACTGCTCGTAAATCTACTGGCGGTAAAGCCCCTCGTAAACAATTGGCAACAAAAGCAGCCAGGAAAAGCGCTCCCGCTACTGGAGGTGTAAAGAAGCCACATCGTTACAGACCTGGAACCGTAGCTCTTCGCGAAATTCGTCGTTACCAGAAGAGCACTGAACTTTTGATCAGAAAGCTACCTTTCCAACGTTTGGTTAGAGAAATTGCCCAGGATTTCAAGACCGATTTGCGATTCCAAAGTAGTGCCGTGATGGCCTTGCAAGAAGCTAGCGAGGCTTACTTGGTAGGACTTTTTGAGGATACCAACTTGTGCGCAATTCATGCAAAACGCGTCACCATTATGCCGAAGGACATTCAGCTTGCTAGACGTATTCGTGGCGAAAGAGCTTAATTCATTTTAATCAACCCAACTTCTCCTCAACAAGACCGGTTCTTTTCAGAACCAATAGATTATTTTCTGAAAAGCAACTTTTCCAATACAAATTGTACATTTTTAAGTCGGTTTTAAAACTGTACTTGTCATGTAAATTACACCACGTCTGTAGATTAACTGAACTTTTATTCTTCTCAAAACCCGTTTTATACATTAATTAAACTTACATTTAAACTATAACAATACTTAACGGGCACGAAACAAGAACTGCTGCTGCTCAATAATTAAATAACTCCAAGAATCAATTTCCAGAGATGCAATGGCAAGATTGGAGATGACAGCCTTTAACACCACTAATGTTGGACGAAACCATTACTCTTTAATAACAGCAGCTTTTTTTTATTCGTTAAAGGTGATTTTAAATCGCCTTTCCAAGAAATCTTTGCACATTAACGAAGGTTTTATCAACTAACATTTAGTAACAGTGTGAGTTATAACTAAAGATATTGTGGTAAGGTATGACTAACAAATAGTAGAAATAAGTCTTATTGTTATTAAGAAGGTTAGTTAACGACTGCCAGCGAGACCCAACTAATAATAAGAAGCTCGAAGAAGAAACATGAAGAAGAAAAAAAAAAGAAAACACGAAGAATGCCAATAACTCGATACTCTTCGCCTAACATGACTAAAAATAACATGACTAAGCGCTACACCACTATTATCTTCACCGACAATATAACCGAACTATACGATTCCTTACTGGATTGAGATGAGAAGAAAATACTAAATATACAGAGTGTCCCCCGTATCTTCCGCATTATTCTGAAGCGATTTTTGTAATAAAAATTTGTCGAAATGTTTATAATAATTAGCGATTCACGAAAAGAGAAATAAACACGTGCGAGACGCAATGAGACAACGTTTTGGACGACTTTAAGCAGTTTCCCTGCGGTTATTATAACCATATCGAAAAATTTTTATTAGAAAAATCGAAAATTAGATTTCTTTATTACATACGAACAAGACTCTTCTTCCAAAAACAACTCGATCGGCTTTTATGACTCCGTCCCTTTCCTACTGTAGTAGTAAAACGGTTAAAGACGGGGTTGTAAACAGGTAGTTTTCCATTGTAGAATGCTGTGATTCCTCACTCAGGGTCGCATTAAGGAATACACCTTATTTGCAAATTGTAGAAAAATAATAGGTCGACATACATATAAATACTCATTATTTGCTTATTTGTTGTGTTTCTTTTTAATATTAAGTTAATTATAAGTTATTATAATTAAGTTGTTATAAGTAAACTTTGGTTTTTTTATTAATTTTTAGAATAAAAATAAAAAAAATTCGATCCTGTCCTTGCCTGGCCGGCTTTTATTTATAACTGTCATAACAACCGATGTCTATGTGGAAGGCTATAACGACCGACCGTTATTCCTTTCCTTTCTACGTAGTTTTAGTACAAAGTTTGTATTGTCGTCCACACTAACATCCGGAATTACAATCCCCATAAATTGTAAACCTCTGCTTCTGTGCGGTTAAGGGTACTTAACCGTTTCTACCTGAGACAAGACCGACAACGCCGTATAGTTTAGAAAGTCAGGGACGCACCAACGAATTTCTTCGAGTTCATTACACTTAACTTTATTGGTCAGTAAACTATATGTATATAATATAATGAGGGTTAAGTTTACCCTAAAACCTAATTAAAATGTAAATAATAAAAAAAAAAAGGTTAATAATATTTATGAACATTAGGTATAAAAAAGTTGCTTATGCCGTGCCTGATTTGTGTGAACCCAAATGATACCTCTTTACTTACGACTTGTTTATGTACACCATCATAAAACTATTGCCCCTTCTATTGTTAAGGGTCTTTTACAGCCGTATCGCAATTCCGGATCTTGAATATAGTACATATCTTGTGATAAAGCATTCGACGCGCTTAAATTTATATTGAATTTAGCACGTCTTGTCTGATGATAGTCTGTAAAACTAAACTGTAGATAGAATACGATAATACTTTCTCAGAAATAGATTTGTGGCTCTGAAAAGAACCGGTCGTTATAAAAATGTAGAGAAATTATTTGGAACTTGTGTATTTCGTAACAGCTTTGGTGCCCTCACTTACGGCGTGCTTCGCCAATTCTCCCGGTAATAGAAGTCTGACGGCCGTCTGAATTTCGCGACTGGTGATCGTCGATCTTTTGTTATAATGGGCCAAACGAGACGCTTCCGCGGCAATTCGCTCGAAAATATCGTTCACAAAGCTGTTCATGATGCTCATAGCTTTACTCGAAATGCCAGTGTCAGGATGAACTTGCTTCAATACCTTGTAAATGTAAATAGCGTAGCTTTCCTTCCTCTTGCGCTTCTTCTTTTTGTCGGTTTTCGAAATGTTTTTCTGCGCTTTACCGGCCTTTTTGGCTGCTTTTCCACTAGTTTTCGGTGGCATTGTTGATTAGTTAATAACAATAAATCGATTACAAGATTTTAATATCGTTCAGTACTCGCACCACGTTAACTAACCATTCGCGTCTACAGAATTAAAAAAAAAATCTGTCTTTGTCGTTTAAAACGTGGAAGCGTCGGATCAGTAGGCCACGCCTCCTGTTGCTACCGCTTGGCTAACGGCAGCTATTGGTTGATACGTCGGCGCAGATGCGTATAAATATTTTAAGACAACGGTTTCGCTCGCATTGAAACTTGAAACATATTGTTGAAGTTTTCGGCAAATACTAAGTCAAATAATCTAAGTCGCCATGTCGGGTCGAGGAAAAGGTGGAAAAGTTAAAGGGAAAGCAAAGTCCAGATCCAGTCGTGCCGGATTACAATTTCCCGTTGGCCGCATTCACAGGTTGCTGAGGAAGGGCAATTATGCGGAACGTGTAGGAGCCGGGGCTCCCGTATATTTGGCGGCCGTAATGGAGTACTTAGCAGCCGAAGTTCTTGAGTTGGCCGGTAACGCCGCTAGAGATAACAAGAAGACCCGTATCATCCCTAGACATTTACAATTGGCCATACGTAACGACGAAGAATTAAATAAATTACTATCTGGAGTAACTATTGCACAAGGAGGTGTGCTTCCGAATATACAAGCTGTTTTGTTACCTAAGAAGACCGAGAAAAAAGCTTAATTTCCTCTTACATCCTTGCCGCCGCGGCACATTAACAAACGGCCCTTCTCAGGGCCACAAACATAAAATCAGAATAATGAACTATCTATCGATATCTACGATTGCGACAAGTATAGATTTAATATTTGTGCATCATTCTTGTTGCCAGTGTTGTTCATCTAACAACCCCTCATTTGTGTACAATTAATAAAACAACGGAGTGCGGGAAGTTAGCCCCCCATTTTTTGATTTTTAAATTTTTTATTGTTGTTCTAGATTGTTCTAGAGTTCTACATTGTTCCAAAGCGGCAAATCGAAAAAATAGAACTCCGCGAGAAAACCGGAAAAACGGGTTTTTTGGCTAGGCCCCCCATTTTTGGAAAAATCTAATTTTCTTTGTTGTTCTGGGTTGTTCTAGTTGTTCTAATTGTTGTTCTAGAAAATCTAAATTATGGGATACAGCATTACGAAGTTATAACTAAAAATAGGTTTGGCCGCCGAAATGTCTAGTTGATTGCTGTGACCATAGTTTTTCTATTATCAATTCCATATTACAAATATATACTTATTATACATAAGCAATCTGGAACAGCTAATATTTTCACTAGAACAACTCTATAAAGAACACTTTACTCTTTGAAAATTAAAATTTTTGGAAGTTTCAGTTAGTAATTCTTTCATAAGTTCATAAGTAAGTTTCATTAATATCTATTTCAATAAAAAATAAAAAATATATTTTTCAAAATACTTGCGGATTCGGCAGTATATTTCATAGTTTAGTACACACCATTCATTCACCATCATCATGTTGAGAATGTTTGCACAGATTGCTTTAGTTTCCTAAAATTATTTTTAAAAACCGGTTCTAGTAAAGCAACATATAAAAAAAGACCTGAACTATTAACAGGAATAAATTATTTTGGAAGCCAGAATATTGCTGGCGTGATAATAGTGAATGCTATGTCAAATATTACATTTCTTTGCACACAACTATTTAAAGAAGAATTTAGTTATTGTAGGACTAAAAACTGCAATAATTGTCTAAACGTTACTTTCCACAAAAACATAATTTTACCAACCGACATTTACATCGTAACAATATTTGGCTATGCACAGCTAAAGCAAGTAATGAAAACTACATGCAAACTCTAAGCAACAATTGCAAAAAATGTGTCAATTCCAACCCATACCTGCACAAGCTGACGAACCTTAAAAGCTTGAACAACCTTGAAAGACTGCGATAGAAATCTTAGTGAAAGGCAGAGTCAAGACTTACAAGAGCAGATGAAATGGGACAACCTCAATTAACATTGCACTTAGCAAATGGATACTGCAATCATTTATTAAAAACAGAAAGTTTCTCCTGGATACTGGAATTATTTATTAGACACTGCAATCAACTATTGAATACTGGAAATAAGTACCAATCACCACTATGGATTGCGTTTCGTCACTGGACATTAGAATTATGTATTAGATATTTTAAAATTGGATATTATTTAATGACTTCCGAAAAAAATCAATACAAGTTGAAGAAGCTACTGAAATAAATGCACAAATGTGCATATAAATATAATATAATATAAATCGCATCTTATGTGTTACTATTATAAGTTTAAAGAGAAATGTGAAACTTGTGATTTTTAGAAAATTAGGATGGTCAGATTATTCCATATATTTTTAGTTTTTTAAAACTATTTAAAAGTACTAATAAGTACAAATTTTTAATATGAAACTTTAAAAGAACTAAAGCCGCAGTGATTAAATAAACATTTTAAGTACCTAGAACAACAAGAACAATTTAGAGTAACAAAAAATATGTGATTTTGCAAAATTAATGTCCGTGTTAAACGCAAAACACATCTAGAACAATTTGAATCAGCAAAGTTTGAGTTATTTTAGATTGTTTTATGTCTTTTAATTCTTATTGTGTAATATAAAACCGCTGACACAAGAATTACGGACTGAAACTTTCGAAAACTTTAATTTGCAAAGAGTAAAGTGCCCTCTAGAGAGTTGTTCTAGTGAAAATAATAGCTGTTCCAGATTGCGTTAGCTATAATAAGTATATATTTGTAATATGGAATTGATAATAGAAAAACTATGGTCACGTGCAATCAACTAGACATTTCGGCGTTCAAACCTATTTTTAGTTATAACTTCGTAATGCTGTATCCCATAATTTTGATTTTCTAGAACAATAACTAGTTTGATTTGTTTATTTTTAAAGAATAAAGAAAGGGGGATGTTGTATGAATCATCGAGATAGATATAATTTACTGGAGTACGTACTCACGATATTCGCTTGGTCGAGAAAACGGTCCGATTCGCCAGCATGTTCCCCCACCCCATAACGGCAAGAAATACAAATAGCACTAACTAATGGATATAATTCAGCATGAATTTATTCAATATTTACTAAGTAATTCAAATAATGATATTCAATAATGATGAAAAATACCAAATAATACATATTTAAGTTATTATAGTTAGAAAAAAAAAATATAATTTTTTCCGTATGTTACGTTGAAGCTTTTTGCCGTTATGGTGTGGGGGAGGCCGGCTCGTTTTCTAGCTCAAAGCACGCACTCCAGTAAACATAGTACATCTCGATGGTATAAATAGTGTAGCGTGTCGCCATCTAGTAGAGAATAAGTGAATCAAGTGTATTAGTGAAGCGTGTAACGACTGGTGGGACCAGTTCAGACGAGTTCACCAAAGACCACAGTTGAAGATGCAAGACACCTGTTAGTTCCTGAATAAAGATTTAATAATAATAGTTTGTGTATTATTAACAACAATATAACAGTAATCAGCACTATTTTCAATTTTAGAGGACGCGGTAGAGCGGGTAAAAATTTTAATTTATAAAATTAATAATTTGTTAATTAAAACTAAAAATTTAGATAAATTGAGTCGCGCCATCTGTGAATGGGATACCCAACTACACTTGTAAACAGAAAATATTTTTTTTAGTAACCCCGTTTATTGATTTTCTTTTGTTACCTTCACCTTCACTGATTATGTGATTATTATTTAGTCTCTAGATGTCAATCATGTCAATGCCATTTTATTTTCCGAACAAAGATAATGTCGTTTGGAAGAAGCTTCTTTGACTGTGTTAACAGCAATGAAGTTTACAAAAATGTCCCAATGGCGTCTTTCTTCTAATTCCAAGGAACGCGGAAAATAATAATGGTGCCATGGTATGGAAAAAGTAAGAATTTGAAATTAAATTTAATCCTTTATAAACATAACGATTAAGGATAAAAATGAAATGCAAAAACCAAATGCAAAGAAATTAAAAAAAAGATTTTGTTGCGAATTAATTGAGGACTGTTATTTCTCATTAGTCACAATATTACATTCTAATATATTTTTATGTTATTGTTTAATGTAATTTTGTTTGAATATTTTAGGTGGACCTGAAACATGGTAAACGATAGACATTAGAGATTGGTGTCATTTGTGGATAGGTTAATCGAGAACTGATTCCCTTAAGGAATTAATTCTTTACTGAAAATGAAGAGTACAAATTATGGTTACTCTCCAATTTTTGAAGACAATGTTATGGTTTAACAGGTAATAGTTATGTATGCATTTTACTGTATGCAAAATCTGTATTCGAACATCCACCGAAATATTAGAAAATCATGAATGGTGGTAGAAATTTCAAATATTTTTGATGATTTATTTAAGTTAGAAGAGTAAAAGCAAAAAAAGTAGATATGTTGGTTACCTCTGTAGCACAAACATTAATAATAACTAAGAAAATTATACATTTGGAATAACACTATACTTTGTTAGATAATCTGTATGCTTAACAACAACACTTGGATAGCTTGGCATCGATTTCACTAGTTTAGTAGTTAATTCAGGTGGTATTTTAGTCCATTCTGTCTTCAATGCTATTTGTAAGTCAATTGCATTTCTAATATTGTAATATTTCAATTTATTCTTGAATAATAATAACAGGATTAAGATCTGGGCTTTATGATGTTGTTTAGAGGTGCTCTAAACAGTTGTACATGATCCAAAGTCTAGATTTTAGCATGGTATGCTTCGAATTATTATCCTGTTGAAAGATAGTTTGAAACGAGAAAAGTGTTGAGTTGCGGTAATGTTTTTATTAAAACAACGAGCCGTTGATAGAAAATATATTGAAAAAATACTAACTGAACTACAAACTATTACGAACTATTTTTAACAGAACAAAGAACAAGGGTAAAGCGTTCCCTTCGTGCTACCAACATGAAGAAATATTTAAATCCGTAGCTTTCGGACAAACAAGTAGCGACATCTATAGGATAATGTATTGTAATAATACTTAACAAATGTTCAACACTCCTCCTCAATACGTTGTCTTTGACTAACAAACAATAACAATAAAAAAACGTTAAGGGAGTGAAACCAAACCTATTTTTTCGCGCAATACATTAAATTGATCTTTTGATTTAACATGTTTCGTAAATACATCTGCTGCCTATCTCTTAGTGTCTATATATTGAACACACAACTGTCCATTTTCATACGCGTTTCTCACAAAATGGTAACGAATGTTTATATGTTTTGTACGCTTATGAAAAGCCAGGTTCTTCACTAATGCAATAGCACTTTGGTTATCACAACGCAATTTAGGACATTCATTAAAACCAATCAGTTCATTGAATAATTTTGTCAACCACAAAATATCCTTCACACCTTCACTAGCTGCCACCTATTCGGCCTCGGTAGATGATAAAGCGACCACGTTCTGTTGACGACTTGCACATACAATTGCTCCTCCTGCATATGTGCTCACCAATCCAGTTGTTGATTTTGCCGTTTCCCAGTCCCCTCCATGATCTGCGTCACTGTATGTCATAAAAGATCCAGGATTATCCGATTGATACATGATTCCAACATTTCTTGTTCCGTTCAAGTATCTAAAAATTCGTTGAACTCGTTGCCAATCAGCTTGGGATGGTTTTGATACCGCCCTTGCAACGACACCCACGGCAAAGGCAATATCTGGTCGTGTAGCTATAGCCAAATATTGTAAACAACCCATAGCTTCACGATAAGGAATCCCATCATTTATACATTTAGATTCTTCATCCTTTTCAATCGTCATTGTAGGAACTCCAACTGGCTTTGAATGTTCCATTCCAAATCGCTCCAGAATTTTTCTGGTATATGTTGGGTGACTTATAAAAATGTTATCAGCCTGCTCAATTTGTATACCGAGAAATGAATTCAGTTCACCTTCCGTAATCTTGAATTCCTGCTTTAGTTGATGGATTAATTCAGTTATCTCTTCTTGATCATTCCCTGCTATCAATCCATCATCCACATAGATTACTAAGAACAATCTCTGACCATTTTTATTTCTTATAAACAAACATGGATCTGTAACACTTTCTTGGATTGGATTGGAACTCATTTGTTTATCGGGTTCGAGTTTTTTTTTTTTTTAACTCCTTAGCCTGTTCATCTGATTTTTTCTTTTTCTTCTAATTGTTTTTCTGATTTTTTGCGAAACTAATTTTCGTCAATTGCGGTTTTAGTCGATTTTTCTTCTTTTTGTACGGAATCCAATGTTGTTGTTGGCTCGTTTACGTTTCGTCATGACAGTGTCCCTTTTGTCTGTTTTTCGCGGTCGTGTTAGGGTTGCCTTTTTTATTTCCGAGTTTAGATGGTGTTCCATTTTTATGATTTGTTTGCTTGTTGCTTCATCGATGATTGTTTCTAGGTCTTTAACGTTGGCTTCTTTTCTTAGCTGTTCGGTTGAGATGTACCACGGGGCAGCCATGACCATCCTCAGAATTTTATTTAGTTTTTGTTGCATTTTTTCCTTTGCGTTGCTGTTGGCTAAGTTCCATATGGCTCCCCCGTAAGTTGCCACTGGTGTAATTATTGCCTTGTAGATTCTTACTCTGTTGATAACATTTAGTTTGCTGTTGCTGTTTATTATTGGGTACAGTCTGGATACTTTTCCTTCTATTTTCTTTTTCGTTTCTTCCGAGTGTTGTACTAGGTTAAATTTTTCGTCTAGGTTTATGCCTAGATATTTGACGGTCTTCTTCCACTCGATTTTCTTTCCGTTTATTGTTATTTCTTCGGGTTTGGGTTTTCTGTCGTTTTTGAATTTGAACGTTATGGCTTCAGATTTATGTTCGTTCACTTTTATTTTCCATTTGTTCAAGTATCGCATGATGATGTCTGCTGCTTCTTGTAGTCTCTTATGAATGCAAGTTTTATGTCGACTTGTAGTGTATATGGCTGTGTCGTCAGCAAATTGTGCTAAGGTTGTCTTGTTCGGTGTTGGTATATCTGCGATGAATATGTTAAAGAGTGTTGGTCCTAGGACTGATCCTTGCGGCACTCCTGCGGTTGCTGCTGCTTCTTTTGAAGTAGCATTTCCTATTTTGACGTAGAATCTTCTGTCATGTAAGTAGGACTTAGTTATGTTGATGAGTTTTGTTGGTATCTTGTATTTTAACATTTTGTATATTAGCCCTGGGTGCCAGACTTTGTCGAATGCTTTTTCGATGTCCAGAAATACTGCCCCGGTGAGTTGGGAGATATTTCCTTTGACTAATATATGTTCGGTAAGTCGTATTATTTGTTGTTCGGTAGAGTGTTCGTTCCTAAATCGAAATTGATGATTTGGGATGATATTTCGGTCTTCAATAGCTATTTTTAATCTGTCGTGGATGGTTCTTTCGATGATTTTACTTATTGATGGGAGAAGGCTAATTGGTCGATAGGATGTGGGTTCGTTTTTGGGTTGTTTTTACGGTTCTTTTAAAGTCTTCCCAATTCACTATTTTGATTTCTTGTTCTTCTTTCTCAGGTTCTATCTGTATTTCCATCAGAACGGGATAGTGGTCGGATGATAGCTCGTTTATTGTCGTTAATGTTGTTCGGTATTTTAAATTCTTAATAATGGCGATATCTAGTACATCTACTGAGTCCGTTGCATTGTGTATGTGCGTGGGCTCGTCCGGACCAATTACTATCATTCCTTCTTCTTCTGCAAGATGTTTTAATTTTTGTTGTTTACTCTGTAAACATGTCTACCATGTCTAACCATGTCTGTTGTTTACTCTGCTGTTCCAGTCCGTGTGTTTGGAGTTTAAGTCTCCAGCTAGTATAGTTGCTTGGTCGTCGTTAAAGATGCTCTTGATCTCATTTTCCACAAATGTTTCGTTTGGAGCTAAGTAAGCCGAGTATATGTTTATTGGTCCTTTTTTTGTACTGATTTTGATTCCATTAGCGTTCAGGTGCGTGACGCTTGGTTCCGGTAATTCTTCGTGTTTAATTCGTCTGGAGACAATGGCTGCTGTGCCTCTGCCTTCTCTGCCGTCGGTTCGGTCTCTTGGATAAACATTATAGTTTTGGATGTAAAATGGGTGACAGGGTTTTAATAACGTTTCTGTAACTAGTATATCAATTTGGTGATCTTCCAGAAATTGTGTTGTTTCGCTTTTCTTTTTTCTGATGCTGTTGGCATTCCAAAATGCCAGTTTTAACGTCTTCTTTCGGTTTAGGTCCATTAACTTTCGAATATTTTAATGATTTTCTTTTTCTTTGCGAAGAATGTTTTTAATTGCTCATCTGTTGGGTTTGTAAAGACGAATTCCGCGTACATTTCGCCCAGGGTTTCTTTTAATTGTTTTATTCCTTTGTCTTCTGTTTTATTGCTGTCGGCTTTTTTGCTGATGTCATTGATCGAGTCGTTTTCTTTGTTTTCTGTTTCGTCTTTGTTCTGTTTCTTTTTTTCTTTGAATTCTTCTTCCTTCATGCGGACTTCTCTGTTTTTCCAGAAATTGTTTTCTGTTTTTTTCTTTTCTTCTTTTTTTTTTAAGATTCGGGTTATTCGGGTTCTTTGCGCATCTTATCCAGGTAGATAGGTGATCCTCGCCGCAGTTTGCACAGCACGGCGCGCTGGTTTTTGGTTTTTGACATTCGTTCGACATATGGTTCTGTCCATATTTCATGCAGCGAAATTCGCCGTGGCAATTTTTTTGAGCGTGTCCAAATAGTTGGCACCGATGAGATTGGATTATTTCCATTCTCGTTCTTAACGGTTCAACCGTTATCGTTATTCCGCAAACTTTCTTGATGTTATAAATTGAACGATATTCCTTTTCTACTTCAACGAGTATCATCGGTGCTGGTTTGCTTTGTTTCCCGTTCATCCTGGTAATTTTGGTTATCGGGTAACTTTGTTTTACTAGTGACCTAGTAAAACAAGGCTACCTTCTTTTGGCTTCTTCTAGTGATTTCCTGTATTATACCTCTGATTACGACCTTCAGTTTCTTTTCCGATCGTAGATCGTAGGTGTAGAACTGTACTTTTTCGGCTTCAAGCAGTTTCTTCAATTGTCTGTAGTTTTCCTCCGTGGTCGGTTCTATGTTGATGCCTTGCGCAATTAGTTTGGCTTTTACGTAGTTTATTATTTTTCGTGCATGATTTGGCTAATTCTGTTCCATTTTTCTTTTTGAGTAAGTACAAGCGGCGCGATTTTATTTTTCTTCCGCGTTTCTTGGTTTTCGTGTTTTTTCCCCATGGAGGTATCCTTGACGGTGGATTTTTC